CACACACACACATTGACTGACACACATAGACACACAAACACACATTGACTTATACACTGACATGGAGCCATGCACACACATGGACTAACACACATACAGCGACTGATACACACACATGGACTTACACACATACGCATGGACCTACACGTACACACATATGGACTGAAACACACACATTGACTCACACACATGGACGTGCACAGCAATCCCCGATGATGGCACAGCTATCAGCATTGCATTACTACGTATCAGTAAATAGCGGGACGTGAGCAATCGAAACAATAGAAATGCATAGAAGAAATAAGCTGAAAAAAGTGTACGTAAAATAGCAGCAGTATGTACAGGTAAGTTGAGAAGCAGGCTACAGTGTAGATCAGGGGTCACCAAACGTTTTTCACAGTGGGCCGGATAACTGAAAGAATGACGAGCGCGGGCCGCATAATAAATAAATATTTCTGGAGCGTCGGGCCTGTGTTGACAGCTGGAAAATCTGGGGGCGGGAAAGATGCGTGTTTGTGTGTGTTGCCATGGAAACCATGGTAACGTCAGCGTAGGCGGAGCTACCACGAGCCGGGGAAGTACTTGGGATGGCGCGAAATAAGCAAACATTACAATAAACAAGAAAATCTAGATACAATAATTTAAAATATAAAATAGTAAATTTAAGGAACATAGCAATCAGGAGGTCTCCACGCGTGAAGATCTAGTATTCTAAACATAATATTTAAATTGTATCACAACGGCTCGTGTTGCATACGTTTTTATCAACCAAATTCAAGTACCGTCGGCGGGCCAGATGGACTGACGTTGCGGGCCGGATCCGGCCCGTGGGCCGTAGTTTGGTGACCCTTGGTGTAGATAGACTGCCAGTATGCCGACTAAACGACAAGCATTGCTACAGTGGACATTAAAAGCTGGCAATACAGGCAGCAGCTGAAAAAGCAGGATACAGTCGACATGAAAGGCTGGCAGTACACTGAGTGAGGTAAAGAAGCAGGCAACAGATTATAGACTGGCATGCACCCATAATGGGCAAAAGCAAAATTAAGAGTGCCAGTGCACTGACGTGAATGAATCAGCAGGCAGCAGTCCACAGCACAGACTGGCAGTACACCGTCGCAGCGTCATAAAAACGCAGCAAAAAAAGGAAATATTTAAATTTGTATTTAAAGCTTTCGTGACTGCAGTAATTCATATTCTTAGCTCTTTCGGTAAAGTCACGTTGAAGGGAAACAATAAAATATATATAAAACAATAAAAATTCTCACGACGTTTCGACCATAACACAAACGGTCGTCATCAGGTGTGTGTCACCTGGACATCAGGTGTGTGTCACCTGATGACGACCGTTTGTGTTATGGTCGAAACGTCGTGAGAATTTTTATTGTTTTATATATTTTATTATTTTATTGTTTCCCTTCAACGTGACTTTACCGAAAGAGCTAAGAATAAGGAAATATTTAGCAACCTAATAATTAAAAGATAGTTTTCTGCACACAAACAGTATAATTGTAATATTAGGCAACTTATTAGTTTCATAATAGTAAACAATGAAGCAGAGTTATCTGCACACAATCATAATGTTTGTAATATTTGTAAACTTATTTGTTTAATAATAGTAAACAATAAACCTGAGTTGTTAGCGAAAGATTAAATAAAATTGTGCTTTACATTGGCGTGGTGACGCATAGTCCGTGCAGAGCCCGTGGCGTCGCCTAGATTGGCAAGCCGGAGGAGGTGAGACATTGCCAGGCTGCGGGCTGGGCCGCTACCCCCCACCATCCCCCCACCCAAGCCATAATAATGCTATGTAAGCGCTTTAATAATATTAATGTCCAAGGACGTTATAGCAGTAACTGCACGCATCGTGTTGGGGGGGAGGGTGGGCGAAAAGGACATGAGACTGAAGAAAAATACACATCGCTTGGCAGGGTCCGTCCCCCGCAGGCAATTGTCGTCAGTTGGTACGTTCTATGTCGCGCAATAAGTAAATAATTTAAATAAAAATGTCACAAATTTGTTAATTAAACTACTTTTAAGTTTATGGATGAGAAAACGGAATAGCCTATTCCCACCGCGAGGCTTAGAGCATGGTGCCTGGCAATTTTTTGGGGATATAAAGCCCACCGTTCGAGAGTCAAATCCCTCGCAAGCGCGCGCGGACACTTTTATATATAAGACTAGCGGGAAGTACCCGGCGTTGCCCAGGTGAAAAATATATTTCAAAACTTCTCTTAAAAACCTTACATATACATACACAGATACTAAGGTATTGTGAAAACCTGGTGGGCCGTTTGTCCATTTCTCCACCAACAAAATTATAAGAGGCTTGCACAATTCCAAAAAGTTATAGAAAGTGGGGGGTAAATAGTTGGTCTAAAAGGTTTCCGAAAATTGTCGACCCCCCCCCTCAAAAAATATCTTTACCCCCGCGAAGGTATATATACCTACACACCCTACATACAACAGAGTAAGTAGTATCTATTGACTCTGTAGTTGTATCGACTGACTGTACAGTAGTATTTACTGAGCCAGTAGTAGCTACTGTTTAGTAGTATTTACTGACTGTAGTAACTACTGACCCGAGTAGTAGCCACTGGCACTACAGTAGTATCTACCCACTCTATAGTAGCAACAACTAACTCTAAAGCAGTATCTGCTGACTCTATAGTAGTATCCACTGACTATAAGTAGTAACTACATACGCTATAGTAGTATCTACTGACTCTACAGTAGTATCTACTGACTCTACAGTAGTATCTACTGACTCTATAGCAGTAGCTACTGACCGTAGTAGTATCGACTGACTGTATAGTAGTATCTACTGACTGTAGCAGTATTTACTGACCGTAGTGGTATATACTGACTGTTTTAGTGTCTACTAACTCTATATATAGCAGTATCTACCAACTCGATAGTAGTATTTACTATCACTACAGCAGTGCATACCGCCTGTGGTGGTACCTGCTATCACTACAGCAGTGCATACCGACTGGTGGTACCTGCTTTCACTGCAGCAGTGCATACCGACTGCGGCGGTACCTGCTATCACTACAGCAGTGCATACCGACCATGGTGGTACCTGCTATCACTACAGCAGTGCATACCGACCGTGGTAGTACCTGCTATGACTACAGCAGTGCATACCCACTTTGGTCGTACCTGCTTTCACTACAACAGTGCATACTGACTGTGGTGGTACCTGCTATCACAACAGCAGTGCTTACCTACTTTGGTGGTGCCTGCTTTCACTAGAGCAGTGCATACTGACTGGTGGTACCTGCTTTCACCACAGCAGTGCATACCGACCATGGTGGTACCTGCTATCACTACAGCAGTGCATACCAACTGTGGTGGTACCTGCTATCACTACAGCAGTGCATACCGACCGTGGTGGTACCTGCTTTCACTACAGCAGTGCGTACCGACCGTGGTGGTACCTGCTATCACTACAACAGTGCATAACGACTGTGGTGGAAGCTGCTATCAAAACAGCAGTGCATACTGACTGTGGTGGTACCTGCTATCACTACAGCAGTGCATACCGACTTTGGTGGTACCTGCTATCACTACAGCAGTGCATACCGACCGTGGTGGTACCTGCTATCGCTACAACAGTGCATAACGACTGTGGTGGTAGCTGCTATCAAAACAGCAGTGTATACTGACTGTGGTGGTACCTGCTATCACTACAGCAGTGCATAACGACCGTGATGGTACCTGCTATCACTACGGTGCATACCAACCGTGGTGGTACCTGCTATCACTACAACAGTGCATACCGACTGATGGTACTTCCTATCACTACAGCAGTGCATACCGACTGTGGTGGGACCTTCTACGATTAAAGCAGTGCATATTGTGGTGGTACCTGCTTTCACTACAGCAGTGCATACTAACTGGTGGTACCTGTATGATTACAGCAGTACATACTGACTGGTGGTATATGCTATCACTACAGTAGTACATGCTGACTCTATAGCAGTATATATCGACTATAGCACAAAGTACTCATCTGACAGAGTGCCGTGGTGAGGGCTAGTCCCGTGCAGAGCCCCCGGCCTCACCTAGATTGCCCAGCCGGCTGAGGCTGGGGGCTGGGCCGCTTCCCCCCCCCACCATTCCCCCACCCGCGCTACAATAATACTATCTAAGCGCTATAATATTAGTATCTACCGACCCTATAGTAGTAAGTGCACACATTGGGGTGGGGGGGGGTGAGAAGAGGACATGACACTTTGATGAATTTACCTCAGCGTTGCGTGTATCTTTTGTTGCATTTTTAGCGCGAAGGAGAAATCCCCCCCCACCCTCTACCGATGACGCGCGTGCGTTGCCAGGGGCAACCCCCGGGCAGCTTGGGCGGGGAAATAAAGAAAGAAAGAAAAATCACACTAAATTGCTAATTTAACTAAACTAATTAAACTAATTTAACTACTTTAAAGTTGACGGATGGGAAAACGGAATAGCGCTGGCTCACCAGGGGGCTTACGGCGTGGTACCCGGATACTTTTTTTTAAGCGTAAACCCCACGGCTCGCGAGCCAAATCCTTCGTAAGTTGCATCCACACAGAGACAGAGAGACGGACGGACACAGACAAAAAAAGCCTTTTATAGATAAGATACAGGGAATCTTTTGTCTTTGTGTGTATATGGGGAGCATTGGCACATTTTTTAGTGCACTGCACTACGAATCCAGCATCCCGAGTTCGATTCCCGCTTATGACCAACATCAGTGGCAAATGTCTGAACCAGTCCTGGGCCTCCCCTCGGCCTACTCTGCCTTAAATGAGTACCTAGTGTGGTGTGAAAATATCAGCAGTGGGAAGATGAAGGTTGCGGGACGTTGTACAGGCCACCCTACCGCTCATGTACCGTGCCCGCCTTCATTGGTTCTCGCCAGCAGCACTTGCCCTAACAGCCTCTGTTCGGCCTACACATGGGATTTTGTCAATACTTGTGCGTGTGTGTGTGTAATATCGTGTCGCTGGGGTGTGCAGGAAAGCAGAACGTGGTGATCATGGGACGCAAGACGTGGTTTTCAATCCCCGAAAAAAAACGTCCGCTCAAAAATCGCATCAACATCGTCCTGAGTCGGGAGCTGAAGTACGTGCTTGTAGTGCAAGAGCATCAACAACAACATCGTCACCATCATCATCGCTGTGATCAAAGAGGCATTGTCATCGCCATCACCATCGTCATCGATACCATTTCCATCATTAATGTCATCATCATTCTATGGCCATGAATCACCATCGTTCATGTCATAATTTTCAATATTTGTGTCATCATCATTGGTGTCATGTTATTGGCAGAAGCTTAATTTTTTTTGTTCTGGCATTTTAATCATCGTGGTGCTTGTCATAACGAAAGTATCAACATTGTTATGATCGTAGATATCACCGTTAATTATTCTCATTCATCATCACTGCTGCATCATCACTGTCATCATCTCCATCATTATGGTCGTTTTGGGTAGAAATAGGAACTTCATTATTGTCATTCTTATATTTTTATTATCATCTTCATTGTCATAGGATTCAACATAATTATAATTTTCAGCATTAGGATTATCAGTATCGCCATTGTCATCAATATCATCTTTACTATTATGGAATAATCACCACCACCAACAATATAACCACAACACAGTCACCATCGTCAGCTTTATATATAATGTGCTATCGACAGCACAGGACTCGACCCAAGTCTGCAGCCTAAGGTTACACGTGGGATACTTGCCGAGTGTGTACGCGTGAGCGTGTGAATGGGCCCTTGTGCGTACACACGTGGCTCGAGAGAAGTGGCTGCCAATGAGACAGATTGCAGTGGTTCAGTGGGTCAACTCCCACCCCTGTGAAGGCATTAATATGGAAGCATGATTTTTTTCTGCAAATAGGACATTAATAATAAAAGCCCTTTACAGTTTTTTTCCATTCGCTGAACATCAAAGCATATTTCAGGAAGCTCCCTTCTTTGGGATGGTTGGCCAGTGCCACTTTTTTATCTTTATTTCCACTTTTATTACACTCGTGCTATCGGCGTCATGCCAAGAGACAAAGTGTGCAGATGTCACAGAACCACTTCTGAGATCCCATCAAGTGACCTCTCTCACACCCACCCACCCACCCTGCAACAGAGAATAATGTTCGTCACATGAGTGAAACAGATATTTTTCATTCTCAGAGCTGGTATGTAGCGAAACAAAAAAATCCAGAAAAACGCATGTCAAAAATGTTATAAATTGATTTGCATTTTAATGAGGGAAATCAGTATTTGACCCCTCTGCAAAACATGACTTAGTACTTGGTGGCAAAACCCTTGTTAGCAGTCACAGAGGTCAGACGTTTCTTGTAGTTGGCCACCAGGTTTGCACACATCTCAGGAGGGATTTTGTCCCACTCCTCTTTGCAGATCTTCTCTAAGTCATTAAGGTTTCGAGGCTGACGTTTGGCAACTCGAACCTTCAGCTCCCTCCACAGATTCTCTATGGGATTAAGGTCTGGAGACTGGCTAGGCCACTCCAGGACCTTAATGTGCTTCTTCTTGAGCCACTCCTTTGTTGCCTTGGCCGTGTGTTTTGGGTCATTGTCATGCTGGAATACCCATCCACGACCCATTTTCAATGCCCTGGCTGAGGGCAGGAGGTTCTCACCCAAGATTTGACGGTACATGTTAAGAGTGTGCTCCTAATCTCAGCTCGTTACCTGTATAAAAGACACCTGGGAGCCAGATATCTTTCTGATTGAGAGGGGGTCAAATACTTATTTCCCTTATTAAAATGCAAATCAATTTATAACATTTTTGACATGCGTTTTTCTGTATTTTCTTGTTATTCTGTCTCTCACTGTTCAAATAAACCTACCATTAAAATTATAGACTGATCATTTCTTTGTCAGTGGGCAAACGTACAAAATCAGCAGGGGATCAAATACTTTTTTCCCTCACTGTATATGAAAGGATCCATTTCTATACTGAAAGCTCCTGGCCACCGCACAGCCAACATGGGATGAAACCCACATGCAAAAACAGTACCCGAAGAAAACCCACGCCTTCGTGGAAATAACATGCCAACGTCTACATAGACTTGGTCACAAAACTGCTTACTGTACTGCCATCTCCTGGTCACCTTGCAACCTTAGCAGGCTGAGAGTCGCAGGGTATATGATGATGGTCTTGGTGTGTGATCTACCAACCCCACCTCGGTAGCACCAGATTGCAAACGAAGGCCATAATTTATCCCTCTCTTGAAGACCACAACTCTGGCTGTCAACATGATTATGTTAGTTGTAATTACTGGCGAAACGTACTCGAATTGTAAATCTTGTGGGTTTTATTCTCACACACCGGTGGGCTGAACTAGTAACGAACTGGCATGTTTTATTTACGTGACAAACGTTACTCATTGGCTTTTTCAGATGGTGGTGGGTTTAACGACACATTTATACATACACGCTCTAACCCAAAAGCCTCGATTATGGATAATGCCACCATGCATGGCAAAACTCCCTGTACTGCCGTCATTCGCAAGGCCATTCTGTTCCCGCACACACGAAACTGAATTTGCAAGATTTTCCACGCGGCCTACATTTATTACAAGCTCTGAAAACATAATGCAAAGCTGGTCCTGAATATTAACACCTCTGGTCCACAACCCCCATCTAGCAATAGATAGACCATGGCTGATGATGAGATTGTCAATATTAGATTCTTAAGTGTACAATTGGATATATCATGAGAATAAGAATTTATTTTAACTGAGGAATATTTAAATAACTGCTGCCTACCAATCCATGCGTTCACTTTCACATTGCACTGCTCGAGTTTCCGACTCAGAATCAGAATATGTATTTATAGTGGAGGAATCCGATGAGCTATAAAGCTCTTTTTTGCAGCTGTACAGTAGGGGCCGGTAAGAACGTTGCAAGAACAAACAACGCAAGAACACGTGATAGTAGTGCAAAGTACAAGAAAGGTCAACAAATCACCCAAACACAAACTCATGAAACTTATTTTCCAGAAGCGACTTGGCCACAAATGATAGCTCAACAAAGTGGCCCATCATTTGGACATTTATAGCACCAAAATAGTTTCAGCACCATGAGATGTTATTGCATTTGGACATTTTCTAATCGTAAAGCATTGGGGAGTGGTGGCGCAGAGATTTGCTCACAGCTCTGGGAAACTGGCAACCTGAGTTTGATTCCTGTCCACCGCTAACGTCAGTGGGGAGAGATATCTGAACCACTCCCCCCATCGCTCCACCATGTATGTTGAACTCATTTCCCACCGTGAGTAGCCAACTGCGCTAATCGGAGGTAACATCCCAAAATGATCAGCGTGGTGGAGTATGCGGTTAAACAACCCCCATGAATGATATTGTGTGGCGAGGCCTTCATCCAGCAGTGGGTTTTTAATGGCCGTAAATCATTTACAATTGCATTAATAATGCCCTTTATATAGCCAGGAAAAGCCTCACTCACTAAGTCTCATGGACACCTCAGGAGGGTCCTGCATTGGGGATGTGTGACCGATTCCACGAATTAGTGTAGGCTTCATATTAGAGGAAACCTGAGCATCTGAAAAAAACCCCACGAGAAGGGTCGGCGTAAACACTGCTTAAAACTCCGCACCGATAGATTCAGGATTCCATCGCTGCATGGCCATCTCTTGGCCACCTCACAGCCCAAATTTAAAATCAACTCTGTTCAACCGCCGGACGTTTCTCGTTGAAGTGCGAAACCCTCGGTGCAGGTTTCTACGAGCTTCTGCTTTTGACCGCATAGAGAAAAACGGCCGCCGGGAGGCAAAATAATTGGGACATGGATGATGAACGAAGGAGGTGCAGCGGAGGCTCCGGGGTTTCTGTCCTCTGTGTCGTCTGAGCAAATCCTCTCCAGCGAGCCGAGCAATTTTATTTAAAAGCATTTATTTCATTTTATTAATTTTGCGGCATGCCTATAAAAAAAAAAGCAGCGACAGATGCTGTGGGATGGTGCAGGCTGGGAATTGCGGCTCGTTTGCTGCCCTCGTGTGACGAGAGTAATCGTCGAGTATTTTTAGGCGCGTTTGTAAAAAATTTAAGGCCATCTCCAAACAGATGTCACTCGCTCTCTCGCTCTCTCTCTCTCTGCCCTCGGCAACGCACCGCCCTCTCCCTGCCTTGATGTCACTGCCTACCCAGCATATATATGGCTTAACTATGCGGTATGTAGTAATACCGCGCACATGTTTGCCATTGTACTGTGTGGCTCTCCGATGTGTTTTTCTGGTTGTACCGGTGGTTTGTCCGACGTTTCGTTCCACGTGCTGTGAACGGAATTACATTCCTGAAGCTGAGTTGAGGCTGATCCAGTTGCTGGAGAAGCTCCTAGGACACGGTGTTCTTCATTGCAAGGCCCGCGGGCTACTGGTTGCCACCTTGGTGGCCTTTAGTGTGGTGCCTGACGTACGGCCCCCCACAATACACAAATCTGAACACACCCCTTGCAGGCGGTGTGTACTTAATAATCATAGAGGCATTCGTCCAGCAGTGGAATGACAAAAGGCTTGTGCAGGTACATGTGATATAATACATTTGATCTCTTTATCAATCCATTGCCAGATGAAAGCTGGCTCCCCCATGCTATGTTGTTGGACCACGCTTGACCACGCTGGTCACTGCTGGTCGGTGAAGCAAGAAGGTGCCCAAGGGATTGGGTTCAGATGTCACACTTCCTCACCGATGTTAGCCGGGACCGGGGATACAACTCAGGGTTCGTGACGCTCTGCGCTAACGACTAAGTCACCTCTCCACGCTCTGCATTTTTTTGATACATATGTAATTTAAGAAAATGGAAAAATTGCTTAATTGCCGGAATTAAGTAACTCTACGTGTATCGATCAAGAGGCATTGCAGGATCAATATATTCCCGTCGCGTTTGTTAAACATGGCAGGCTCTTGGCTGCTCTTGACCTCTACGAGTCTCTTCATTGTTATTTGATTTCCTCTGCCCGTCTTACCTCTGTTAGAATTTTTTATTTTATTGTTCAGAATTATCAACCTTGATCTGTTAACTGCTAGATGGAAGCCTCCCTGTTACAAATGACTGCATGAGAAAAGCGTC